AAAGTAGTTTATTTAAGTGTACTACAAGTGTACTTATTTTACACAAAAAATTAGGAAGTGTACTTGAAGTTTACTTTTTATAAACTTTATTTGATATACTTAAAAATAGTATAAAAATGTCCCAATTTTGTCCAAACAAGGATTAAATCAGTATACTTTTAGTACACTACAAGTATGGTGTGTAGTATACTTGATATACTTATACTTAACTTAAAGTATACTTGCAAAAATAAACTTCAAGTGTTCTACTTTTTGTTAAGGGAATGCTAGCCTAATGTACTAAAATATTAGCTACAGTAGCCAGATACAGTATAAAAAAACAGCTAGAAGCTAAAAAGCTAAGTAAAAGTAGCACAATGTAACAAAAAGCATTAAAAGCCTAGCTAAAAGTTAATATATTTTAAAAAAAACTTCTGCTTTACAATTTTAGCTAAAAGCTAAAAGTAGCAAAAAACTAAAAAACAAAAAGCCAAATAAAATATAAAAAATACTAGCTAGAAGCTAAAAGATGCAACAACCTAGCTAAAAGCAAAAAAATTAAAAGGGCTAATTATAAGCTAATGCAGCTAAAAGGTGCTAAATGCTAGCTAAGTGTAGCAAAATGCTGGCTAAAAGACAATAGCAAAAGGTTAGCTAAAAGCTTAAAGGAGTAGAACAGTAGCTAAAAACTAAATGTAGCAGAGGAAGACAAAAATAGAGATTTCAATTAAAACAATGTTTTTGTTGGATCTGTAACAACCTTAATGTATTTCTTTTGGGAAAAACATTCATAAAGTTAAATATCATGAAAAGTTTTAGAGACAAAAGCTAACATAGCACTCATATATTGATTGAGCTGACTGTTAAAATTAACAATTGCTTTAGCAAGCACAAAGTATGCAGACATTTTTAGATAGCAAAAATCAAAAAAATCTATTGAAAAATTAGGAAAGCAAAAGTGGGAATACTGAATCATTCACAATGAAAAGGAAGAAAAACACGTCAGTTGTGCTTGTCTTTACATAAAATCTAAAATATTAGTTTGGAATTGCTGCAACAAATGAGTTTCATCACCATGACCTGTGAGGATTTCCTGTAAAGAAACACATTATTATATTATGTGAAATCTGCACCTTGCCGGTCTATCTGCTGTCACTCACTGCCACTTTCGCCCGTACATGAGCTATGTCCTGTCAGCCCAGTGTTTGTCTGCAACTGGATATGGCACTTGGGAACGCCGGAGTAGCTCGGATCTGATATATAGCTCTCAGCGGTCCAGCCAAACCCATCAGTTATCACTGCTGCTGCTGACAGTCAGAGATGCCATTTCAGTTGAGCTTTCTTAATGCACAGCTTAGTCGTGCTTATCTAGTGCAGGATGTTATCACTCAGCCACTGTCACCCGTGTCATCAGCACCAAGCTCGGCAGCCGCAAACTTATCGGCATCCATTACTGAGGTGTGTGGGCCCGATAAAGGTCGAGCCTGTTTCGTGCAGCTCTATAGGTCCCATTAAGATTCCTCTGTGCGCAGAGAGGGACCCTGACTCGTCTGAGTCTTGCTTTCATCACTCCTTAAGACTACGTTCACCTGTCAATCAGAGAATGATCTGTTAGCCCCATTTTAGGAGACGTTGATCGAAGAAACATCACAAAGGTGGAAGCACCGGTGGAGGCCGAGTCCAAAAGCTGATAAGAACCAGAAAAGCTTTAAAAAGTGTGTGTGTTTGGAGGTTGAGGGGTGGTGGGCAAAGAAACAGGAGGTGGATGTGCTAAACTATGTGGAAGGAAGGGCAGCTCTGTTTTCTATTTGTGAGGATTAGGTTGACAGATCTGTATTTAGTTTCTCTGGGCCTCTAGCTGCAGCTAATCCCACTCACCTGCAACGGGAGCCCCCCCTCCACTTATAGCCCCTTTTTCTTTCCTCTGACCCTGCAGCCCCTTCACTTCCCCTGCCTTCCCTCCTCCTGCCCAGCACAAACACTCGTCCCGAGACACGCACATGACTCGCTGCACCCTGTCTCCTCAGGTTAGGGCCTCACACTCGACGCAAATCTCTCCGAGGCAAGAAGAACTGCGGGGGTCCCGGTCTTTCTGGAAGAGAAGAAAAAGGACCCCTGGCAACCTGTGGTCTTTCACATACTAAGATTGTTTTCGGCTTGAGTGAGGGGACTGCCCTTCATCACTTAAAGATAGCAATTACGGCAAAATTAAGAGCCATTACCACGGAAGCAGCCTGTCAGAGGCACTCAGGAGAAAAGGAGACCTTTGGTAAATCTGCACATTAGGAAACATTCAGGGTCAGGTCAGGGGCATGGACCTCTTCTCTTCAGATCCTGACTCACACACACACTAACCAGGCCTTCACACTGAGGAAAAAAAAGACATCGGTGCCTCTGCAAACACACGCAGCATGCCTCCCAGCAGCTTTCAAAGGTGGGGACTCTGGGTGACCTAATATTTAGCAGATTGTTCCGTTTTAACGATGAAGCGACATGATGCAAGCAAAGAAACGAAACAAGATTTATGAAAGCGTTGTCGATGAGGGCGTGTGCAGATTCCTCAAGAAGTCACGTTAATTTAAAGCCATGTTGGTGTTTAAGGGCTTAGAACAGCTGATATTAGTCAGAAGTACAGTAAACTGATCTATCAAGAAAATGAAACACTACAGCGTCTCACAGAGCTCTAAAACACATGTTGGCCAGACATATCATTACACATCCATCTTCAAAATCATGCTTTAAAATCCCCTCCACATATGGCTAACAGCGACAATAGGCATTAATTTTCTTGGGGACTCTAACCTCAGCAGATCAAACCCACCCCCACCGTCCTGAGAACACCACAAGCTCACCAACAGACACCTCAGACAAGTAGCAGCAAGTTCAGACAGGTCTCATTACTGAGGCCCACAGAGGGCGACAATGGGAATTTCTCTAAACACTATCAGGAACAAAAAGTTATTACCTTACAGCAGCGAGGTGCAAACTGGCCCAGACACATTCTGCTGTTTTTATATCCGGACACAGGCTGAAATTACACAATCTGAACACAAAGGACAATGATCCACTCTATCAGTCTGGGAGTGAAACAGTTCAATATAATATGGTGCAGTAAAACAGTTTTTAATATAAAGTCGTGTATCTTAACTAACACTTTGCTTCATATTTATTCAACTTTGCCAACTGGACATTATCATGTATGGTCTATAAATATATAAATACCCGCCCACCCCCGACCCCCTAGAGTCTGGCTCTTTGGAAGAATTAAAGTAGTGGTTTAATACATATCTGAATCTGTAGTGTTTCTTTTTGTATTGATGATTTATTTGTCCTTAGATTTAAAAAAATTGTAAGAAAACGTGTGAAAGGTTGCCAGCTACAATGTGCGTACCTCCAGATACGACGGCCAATAGGTCGGCAGAGACAATGTCCACAGAAGAGCTGTCCGGGACTGAGACGTCAGACAGTTTTAATATATTGCTACGTATTTATGATCAGATTTGCTGAGTAAAGTGTGCAAATAGAACAACAGGTTAGATTGAAATGATAAACTGGTTTACGTTTTACAGAAGCTGCCAGTGTTCGAATGTTTCTGTCTTTACGGCGCTCCACCGCCCGGCTTGATCCCCAAGCTTGTTTTTTACTCTTTTATTTATGTTTAGCAGCAAATTCACTTTTATAATTCCACCTAAATGTCTTCAACATTCTACATTTGTCAGATACAGTTGTATTTGTTCATCAACACAAGCTACAGACAACTAGATGATGTCCTGTGACTCAAACTTCCACCTGATTTTCAACACATGTAGCTGAGTGCTTTGTTTACACTATCATCCATCCAACCATCCATCCATCCATTCATCCATCCAACCATTCATCCATCCATCTTCTTTACCTGTTTCTTCCTTTTTGGGTCATGGAGGTCACTGGTGCCCATATCATTGTGCGAGCGGCAGGGTACACCCTGGACAGGTCTCCAGTCCATCAGAGGGACACATAGAGACAAACAATCATTCACTCTCTCACTCACACCTAGAGACAATTGAGGGTTACCAATCAGCCTAACATGCATGTTTTTGGTCTATGCACGGAGAGAACATGCAAACTCCACCCAGAGGAACTCCCACCTGGGATTTGAATCTGGGCAACCTGTTTGCTAAGAGGCAACAACTCTACCAACTGAGCCACCGTGTCGCCCACACTACAACTTGCATTTCTTCACCTTTGCAAATCAGTATATCTTGGAAACTATTTAAACAAAAGCTTTCGAACTGCACCATTTCAAATAGTTGAGAGGAAACTTTTTCACATTTTATTTTATAATTTGAAATGATTGTCTTTAAATAGGAGCAATATTTTATATATTTAAAAAGACAAACAGATTGAAGCGTGAATGTTATAAAACTAACTGAACCAAGTTAAACAAATGTATTTATAGTGCTAGTCCAGACTGCCATTATATATATATATATATATATATATATATATATATATATATATATATATACATGTATGTATGTATGTACATACGTACATTATTCATATAGGTAATGAATGTGTTCAAAAAGACTGTATAAACTAGTTGTAAATGATGAATCTTATTCTGAATGCTAAATCAATCACATTTAAATTAAAATTATAGAAAGACTAATTAGAAAAAATGTAGTTAATTTAATGACTTTAGGCTTTTCTTTTTACATCTCATGTTTTTTTTATAGCAATGTGACTATCAAAAATATGCCACTGTTTTAAAAATGCTTTAAATATCCATAATTTATACTATAAATAGTTAAATTTTAACTCCCGTCCCTCCACTCATAAAAAACAATAAATTAACTTAAAATATACATTTGCTAGTGGTGGGAGCTACATACTACAAGTTGTTACATGGGATTTTAATAAAAACTCAAGTGACGTATTAACTCACGAAGTGATTCTCCCTCACCAGCGAGTCACGCGCTATGCTAACCATGGATGCTAACAAATTAGCATCCTGTCATTAAACTCAGCTGACATGAGAGATGGCTTCCTGCGGAGAAGAGCTGTTCTGTGAAATAGACAAGCTTCGTGTTCGTCTGTTAAGCAGTGTTGGAGATATGACAGAAAGCCATCCTGAAGCTGCCGAGGGAGAAATCAGTCAGTAAGTTTTATTGTTGCAGGTGAAAATTAGCTTCAAACTTTGCTAGCTTGTTAATCATGGCGGCTGTTCAGTTTGTTTTGCAGCACACTTCAATGAAAGTTATCTGTCACTGTCGTAGTTGTTACCAGTCAGAAAATAAAAAAAAATGTGATTTTATACGACATCAGTTAGAATCTGTGTTACTAATTAAATTAGCTCGCTTTATTAAAGACAGCCTGATCTCGTATGCTAATGTATAATCTGACAATTAACGAACTCTCGTTGGAGTCAAACATCGCGAGAGTTTCTAAAGTTTATTTTTTTCTTTTATTTGTTTTGAACAAAACTAATATACGTGAAGTATTTATAATGCCAGCATCCGCATCATTTAGCATGCATCGTTCATATTGTTTAATTTAAACATTTTTGTTAATATAGTCCATAATAAATGTATTTAAAGTTATTTTGAAGCATGAAACTTGAAACATAAAACAAAAGTAGTTATCAGCATAACAAGTAGGCTAAGGATATAACAATTTTAACATATGATAAAAAAATAAATAAAATAAAATTGGCAGTACAGACATGCCCACAATGTTACACTTTAAGTATATTCTATCTATCTATCTATCCATC